TTTAGTCGCTAGGGGCTCCCTGATCCATATAGGTCAGCAATTGCCTGCAGTTAAAGCTTAGCAAGCCCTGGCAAGGCTGCTAAGTTAGCCGAAAAATTTTATCTGCTGTACAGCATGTAGAAGGAAAAGTAGCCCTACACACTGGATCACATCTCCGCCGTCGAATGTCATCAAGACCAGTACCAGGTTGCACAGGACGCCATGGATTTCGGACCAGATGACACGCTCGACTCGCCATGGAGATTGTCTCATGTCGTTCCGTGATGCTTTCTCACCACTCATTTCGTGGGGAGAAAGCATCACAGAACGTTGGAGCCTTGGATTTGGCGTATACATCTGTTGTCCATCTTTCGGTTCGCATGAGATCCTATCACTTCGCTTTTTTTCTACTCCGTCCTCTACATCAGAAAACCATCACTATCTTCACTGTTTTTTCAACATCAGCAGCTGATGACTCGGAACTTGAGGCCTTTCATGAGGATTTGGAGCAAGTCATCCGCAAAGGGAAGTTTTTCTACATATTTGTCATGGGTGACTTCAATGCGAAAATCGAGATGTCAGAAGAAGGGGAACGTAGGATCGGGAGATTTGGATTAGGACTCCGGAATAAGAATGGTAACCGTCTTGTTGAGCTCTTAACCGCCGCACGACTTTTCATGGCAACTCCATCTTTATAAAGAATAAAACTCGGCGTTGGACCTGGGAGTCACCCAATGGTACGACACATACTGAGATCGACCACATTCTTACCAACCGAAGGTGGCGCTTACTGGACGTCTCGGTGGTACCATCCTTCAGCAGTGGTTCGGATCACCGCCTCCTTCGAGCAAAAGTGCGATTCAGCCGAAAGCTGGTAAAGAAGATCTGTCACCGTGTTGAAGGAAGAAGAGAAGTCGAATATGACGGCGTCAGGCTGGAGGAGCTCCTGACCATTTGTGACTGGCCCACCGAGGAGGACCCAACGAAGGACTACGATCTGCTTCTCAGAGGACTGAAAGCCTGTGGTGAAAATGCCTCAACGCCTCAAAAAACTTAGAACGAGTTAGCCACCAAGGATCTGCCAAGGAGGAGAACACTGAGGCTGGGTGGAATGCATTACATCTCGAGCGACTGGTAGCCAATAGCAGTTGCAAAACAGCTCTGCAAGAAGATTTTCAAAAATATAGGCAATCGAAAGTTTTGGAAGCAGCAAAAGGAAGAATCTAAGGAAGTACCGCAGGGACATTCTC